GCCACAACGCCCGGCTATTTTTTGGTTGCAGCCGTCATTGTTGTTTGGCGGGTCCGGGCTGGGGATTCGAACCTGCCGCCTTAGGTGTACGTGGCTGGCGCCTTAGCCGGTTGAGCTATAGGCGCCGAGCCAGTAACATTTTTCAATCTGAAGATGGTTACTAAGTGACTCTTGGGTAAGTAGCATATATAGTGTGGATATGCTAGACAAAGGATGGACAGGATGGGGTGGTACGGAGCTAGATATTGGGAGATTTTATCACATTACTCAAAAGACACACAATTTAAAATTTATGAATTATTTCTAGAATTATCCATTTGATATTTTCAAACCACAGTTGACTATGCATCACTGAGAAACCCTAAAAAGTGAAACCATGGCGAAGGGGTTCTACAGTACTTGCAGTTCGTGACTGGCTTCAACATACATCTGAAAGATCAATAAATGTTTAGCAGAGGGCTGGGTGCAGTGGCTCACTCCTGTAATCCTAGCACTCTATGAGGCTGAGAGAGGTGAACTGCCTGAGCTCCCAGATTTGAGACCAGCCTGAACAAGAGCAAGATCCCCGTCTCTACTAAAAATAGAAAAATTGAGGCCAGAAGATAGCTGGAGCCCAAGAGTTGGAGGTTGCTGTGAGCTATGACACCATGGCACTCTATCCAAGGCAACAGCTTAAGATTCTGTCTCAAAAAATAAACAAATAAAAAATGTTTAGCAGAGATTCTATGGTATTAAATGTATAATTATAATTATATATTTTTAATGTATAAATGTATTTTTAATTTTGGAAATTAAATAATTTTATATAATTTTAATATATTAAATATGTATTTTTCAAATTCTTTTAAATATCTTAAATATACAATTTTTCATATTCTCTTAGAAATATTTCCATGTCCAACTATTAGTTAAAATAGGTAAATACATATTTACAAACAATGTACATTAGAACAACCTAGCATATACCCTGATATTCTGTCTAAAATTCTCATCATCGTATCTTACCTTATGCAAAGACATTATTTTTTTAAACGTCATAATATCAGAATTTGCTTCGAAATAATCTAAAACATGGTGGGGGTGAGGAGGAGGGCAATTGAAGAGAGAGAGTAAATGCATGTATAGAATGAAACAAAACTGTATGAGTTAATAATTATTGAAGTGGGTAAAGCTGGGAAATAAATACAAGCAGGTTAATTATACTGTTCTAGCAACTTTTTTTTTTTTCTGAGACAGAGCCTTAAGCTGTCGCCCTGGGTAGAGTGCCATGGCATTACAGCTCACAGCAACCTCCAACTCCTGGGCTCAAGCGAGTCTCCTGCCTCAGCCTCCCAAGTAGCTGGGACCACAGACGCCTGCCACAACGCCGAGCTATTTTTTGGTTGCAGCCATCATTGTTGTTTTTGGCGGGCCCAGGCTGGATTCGAACCTGCCACCTTAGGTGTCTGTGGCTGGCACCTTAGCCACTGTTCTATCAACTTTTAAAATTTATATTAAAAAACATTAAAAATTCACTGCAAAATGTATTAGAAGTTTAATTATTCTGAGAAAAAAGATGCCAAATGTCCCCAAAACAAAACTTAACATATATCATATTTCACTTTCTGAGGTTTCTCAGTGATGCACAGTCAATATATCTAATAATTATCTATTAACTCTTCAGGTATTAAGAAGAAGATATACTTTTTCTCAACTATCATTACTATAAAAAGAAACTATATTAACTCAATTCATGGAAAAAAATAATCAACTTAATACTAAGTGAATTTGTATAAGACCTACATTTTGGATTTTGGGGTGCTTTTTTTTTTTAATTAATTATTTTTTTAAGACAGGGTCTCACTTTGTTACCCCTGTTAGAGTGTAGTGGCATCACCTTAGCTCACTGCAACCTCAAACTCCAGGCTCAAGGGAACCTCCTGCCTTAGCTTCCTCAGTAGCTAGAACTACAGGTGCACACCACCATACCTGGCTAAGAGATCTGCTTTTGACTCACTTCAGCAACCAATGCGTGAAATTATGCACACATTATTATCTGTTAACTTTGTTTCCTAACCCAAAATTAACTTTACAATCTGAAAGTAATGAACATACATGAATTAGATATTTACTATGTGTGTGTGTTTATATAAATTAGTAAATTGGTAACCAAAGAGCATAAATACACTACACACATACAATTTGACAAATGTATGAATAAATTTTAAACATGAAGTCAAAAAAGTTTGTAAACATTTTAAATATATAAAAAAAAGTAAAATATTGATACCTGGTCATCATCATAGTTAGGATCTTTCACATCTACTTCCTCCACATCATACACCTGCCCAGGTGTACCCCAAACACCTTTACCTCCTGCACCACCTGAAAAAGTTTAGAATTGAGAAAGGAAAGAGCATAAAGTTCATAAATTTTCATTGAAATATGAAATAGATTAAGTATTCAGATGCTAAATAACAGCTTAGAAAGAAGTAATTTCTCTGCTAGTTTTTTTTCCATTTTTCCCCCACTAGTCTTTTTATTCAGACTATTCTTTTTCAATAAGACTGTGTATAGTTTATAATCCATTTCCAAAATATCAAATTCAAATAGCTTATAAAATTAAAAACCAAAAAGGTGGATGTTTTAGAATAAAAGTAAAACTGAATAAAAAAGCCAAAAAAGTGGCTATACTAAGGACCTCAAGGGAGATAATATTGCAGCTGAGTTCTAAATTTTACTTGACATTTCTTGGGACCAAAACAAAAAGAAACATGGTGAACCAGTAAAATGTGGCACAGAAAACTGAACAAGGGGGCTGGATGTGGTGTCTAACACCTATAATCCTACTGTCTCAGCAGGCTGAGGCAAGAGGATCACTAGACAAGAGTTCTAGACAAGCCAAGGGAACACGGCAAGACCAAGTCTCTAAAAAAAATTTTAAAAATTAGCTAGGCATGGTGGCATATGACTGTAGTCCTAGCTACTACAGAGGCTAAGACGGGAGGATCCCAGGAGATTAAGATTACGATGAGCTAAGATTGAGCCACTGCACTCCAGCCCAGGCAACACAGCAAGACCTTGTCTTTAAAAAAAAAAAAAAAAGAAAAAAAGTCAACAAGAGAAAAATTATTTAACAGAGAAACATAGTGACCATCAGTAAGTGTTTTAAGGTCAAATACAGTAAAAGTACACATTAAACTGTACAACCATAATATGTTACAATTAACTAAATGCTTTTTAAGCATTAACTGCACTGAAAATTATTCCTACTACTACATACAAACCAACCAACAGAAGTTTAACAATTCCAACTTACTAAGTTGATTTTTTACATGAATTTAATGAAATGTTTTTAAAAGACATTATATTATATTATTTTTCAAGAACTCTTACCATGTTACTAACATTTCTTTTTTTGGAAGTTCTTATTTTGAACCTAAAAGTATAATCCTTACCATCAAACCAACACAAAACCTGATAACTAAGTTCCATTTTGATACAAAAAATGACTGTAGAGCTATTCAACAAAAATAATTTCTCACAGATCACAAAAACATTTTATAAGAAACCTAGGCAAGTTCCCACCATTCAAGAGCCGGTAAAATCTCCAAATCGTATCAAAATCCTACTACACAGAGAAGCTTACAGACCCCTTATCATTCAAGAAATATTTAAGTGTCTACCATGTGCTAGTAAGTACTTTACCTGCTAGGGATGAAGCAATGAATAGATCAAACCCTTCTGAAACCCAAAATAAATAAAGCTGAAGAGAACTCAGGATCAAGCCCATGAAAAAATTAAAATTCTGATCCAAACATTACCAATCAAATTTATATTTATTATTCTTAACAATGAACATAATTATATTCATTAGATAAAAGGTATGATGAATTTCTGACTCCTTTCAAAGGTAGTAAAGAATACATGCACAATTCATAACTGTGAAAAGCATTAGTGTTTATTTTGCTGGAGGCAAAAGATAAAGTTCTGTTCAAGAAAACTAAATCTGCTCAAAGAAAAGGATAAACCTAAAAAAAGTGGATGGTCCTCAAGTTATTACTAAATAAAAACATATACAAACCATAAAACCAATAGAAGGTTTAAATTTCTCTCATTCCTAGAACAAGGAAATCACAGTATAGAAACCAAGTATTTTCCCCATTTGTTTCCACTTGTTTTTTCCTTATTTTTTGGACATGGTAAATACTAACCTTTCTTTGGTAGTCCCCTTCCTTTCCCAGATCTGGATCGCCTATCTAGCAACCTTCCCTTTGGGCTGGTTGGCACAGTTACTCCACTTCTAAGGGCTTCACTTCCATTATCACTAACTGAATCTCCTCTGCCACTGTCTCGGGATGAGTTTTTCCGTAGTCGCCTTTTTGCCTTGGCATTAATTCTAGCTTCATTAATGGAGGATGCTGAAATCCAATTTCCATTTATTTCATTCTTTATTTCCTCAGTCCCAGTATTTTCTTCATCACCAGAAAAAAGAGAGTCACTCAAATTATCAGGATCTTAAAAAGAAAATAAAATTCTAAGTTAAGTATCTTCTGTGTATGACTATACAATAGATACAGATATAATCATAAGTTGGATTAAGTTGAATTACGAATGAATTTACCATTTTTGTAGGTTAATTAGCAGTCACACATTTGCAATTTCATAAAGGCCAATCTAATAAATAACTAAATAGGATTACTTTCTACATTATCAAGGCAAGTAAACTAAGGAGATATTACTAAACAAAGTTTAGTGAAAGAAGCATGTTATTTCATGGGTTTAGATCATAAAATCTATGTTACTATCAAGACCAAATAGAAAACCTTTACACTTTTGTGAGCTAAGAGAGTTAAGCAATTAAAGATACTAAGAAAAGAGAAAGGATGTTGAGAAGGAGATAAACTAATATTTTTAGAATACCTACTATGATTTATCAAGTGCTGTGCTGAACACGTTATCATTTACCTATACTAAGGCAGTTAAATATTATAACATGTATATAAACAAGGAAACTAAGGCTAAGAGTGTTTAAATGACTTGCCAAACACCCCAAGGATCAATTATACTCAGGAAAAATTATTAATCCAGAAAAGCCTGAAAGCCATTTGGTAAACAGGTGATCTCACATATATTTGTTGAGCTCAATGCTAATGCTTCACTGCCTTCAAAATAAAGCTTGCTTTCCAGAAAAGCTATCATCTCAAAGTCCTAATTAATCTCCCCAAACTTGACTCACAAACTTAAGCCCTCTGAAAGTCTTCCAACCTGTGTAATATTTGGTACACTATCCCCTAAAATAGATCAACATACCTACAGTTCCCAATAATCTCCCTGCTTAAAATGTCATCCTTGCTGCTCTTTTTGGTTATCAAAAACATTGGATGTAGCTCAAGTCTTATGAAAACTTCTCTAACAACTCTAACAACAGTAATACTCACATACTGTTCATGTAACTCATCACAGAAATACCTTTTGTTTCTTTCTATATAGCACTCTTTCTCTTCCAAGTGAGTCATAAGCCTCAAAGGAGAAACTACTATATTTCTTTGTATTCCCAGTATCCTTCATACTATCAATTTAGATGTCCATGGAGATCATGTGGAGACACCTGACTTTGTTCTGATAACTTTTTAAGTCAGAAAGGCTACCAAATTAGTTACCTCTGGGCCAGAGTTTTGTTCATTAACTAAAGTCAGAGATGAATCGAATCACTCAAATGGCTTTAAATATACTAAATAGGCCAGGTACAGTGGCTTACATCTGTAATCCTACCACTCTGGGAGGGCAAGGAGGGAAGATCACTTGAGCTCAGGAGTTTAAGACTAGCCAAAGCAAAGCAATACCCCATCTCTATTAAAAACAGAAAAATTAGCTGGGTGTGGTAGCACACCTGTAGTCCCAGCGACTCTGGAGGCTGAGGCAGGAGGACTGCTTGAGCCCAGGAGTTTGAGGTTGCTGTGAGCTAGGCTGATGCCATGGCACTCTAGCTTGGGAGACAGAGCAAGACACTGCCTCAAAAAAAAAAAAAAAAGCCTAAAATATAATTATGACATGTCAGGTATGTGTGCATGAGCTTTAACATGTTTCAAGACATACTAAAACCAAAAATTTTAATCAACCTAAGAAAAAGCATAGATGTGTTAAAATCTTTACAATTCTGACAAAAAGGATGAAAAGTTAAGAAATTTTATACTTAAGAATGTTTACTTAGGAAGTTAGGAATGTTTTGTTTTAAACAAACAAAAACATTAAGTACAGCCAAATTATCTCAGTCTCCTAAGTAGTTTCCCGTGTCTTCAGTCTTCAAATTATTCTCCAAACTGAATGGAGACTGATTTTTTAAAACATGTCCTCATTTCATAAAGATATTCCCATTATGCCAGAATAAAGTATAAACTCTTTACTTTGTAACCTAGGTTCTTTTTTGATCTTGTGCCTACCTAACCTCACTAGAATGGCTGCTGATCACCCCCACACTCAAACAGTCAGAACTCAGATTTAGAATCATAGGTAGGAGATGGGGAATTATTTTAGCAAAAGAATACAGAGTATATTACACAAAAGAGAAAATTAAAGTGGGAGGCCAACTAAAAAGTGCTACAGTAATTCAGTCACAAGCTAATTGGAAAAGGGCAAGGATAACAACCATGGAATAAATAATATTGACAATTTTAAAGAAAAAGATAAATTTTCAAACAAAATAGATTATGGATTAAAGAAGAGTGAAAAAGGTACCAAGTTTCTGGACTGATGAGAAGCCAGTGTTAGGAGGGTAACTTTGGGACATCATAATAACTAGTAGTAGTAACAAACTGTAGTCTAGCAGTAGTGGCACTACCACTGCTTCTTTTATCATTACCAGTCGTATTTCTGTTACCTATTAGATCAACTAGGTTCTATGCTACCATACTAGGTTCTATACCAGGCACTTTACATACATAGCCTCTAAGCTGCACAAAGCTCTATAAAGAAATTGTTTATCTACATTTTACTGAAGAAAGGCGTTTAAAAGAGAAGTTACATACTTAGAAATGATTATGGCTAGGATTCAAATCCACATTTTGAATTTCAAATGATTGTAATTATAGAAAACATAAAGCTAGAATACAACAGTGTTGAGTTGACAGCTAAAGAGGCAGAGAAGATGAACAAGGGAATGAACATAAAGAGAAATAAATAAAAGTATAAGGGGAAGGAGATAAGACCAGAGATCAGGCAAATTATATATCGTTTTCATGTAAGACTAGGAAGTTGAGAAAATATAATTAACACCTGCCTATAATATAGTGCTTTCATTATTTTACCCTATTGTGAACCACAAAACTGATCCAGAAGATAAAGGAATTAAAAGTGTAATAAATGTTTCAAACTATCCTTTAACTCAAACATAAATGAGTTTTTCAACTATTTTAACATCTCTCAAATGTTTGTGTCTGCAGCAAGCATTCATTCTCTCACTGTGTAATTTATATATCTGACCTTATCATTTTTAACCTATGTTTTCATCAATTGTCTTTTAATATTTTGCTATTCATACTCACTTCCCTAAATTTTGGAATCCCATAACCACTACTGACCTAACTTTACAAAAACCAAAATGAAAAGCATAAAAAATCATGAGTACAGAATGTAGTGAATTCAAAATTTTCTGTGCATTAAATTCCCTCTCTCTGAATTCTCTAACATCTCAATAGTATCCACTCTAAATTATATGACTACAGCACCAAACAATCACATTTCAATTACTGGTGTCTAGTAAGTAGTAATTAGAATAACATATTTAGCATATTTTCATATATTTTAGATCTATGCTTCATAGGTTTGACATATATATAATAATACAAAAAATCTATACAGAAGGTATTTATACCCAAATTTTACTCATGAGGAAATTGAAGATAAAAGTAACCAACATGCTCAAAGTAGCAAAGCTGGTAAAGGAAGAAGCTAGAATTAGTATACTAGTCTCCCTGACTTGACCTATTTGCTGTAAGAAGAATTCGTTGCAAAGAAGGTCTTACTTTAGGCCTAGCCAAATATCAAAGAACAATCTTTTATTTTAAGTAATACTATGCATGGGCACCAAGAAAAGGGTTAGAACTAGGTTTTACTAAAGTCAGAAAACAAAAGGTCTAAATCTTAAAACTGTACTATGTAACAGAAATAAGACATGTGCCAGATGAGATTTTAAATTTTCCAGTAGCTGCATTAACAAGTAAAAAGAAGTAAAATTAATTTTAATGTATTTTATTTAATCTGACTACAATACCATTTGAACATGCAATCAATATAAAAAGTTGAAATATTTCACACCTTCTTCTCAATTCAGAGTAGCTACGTTTTACAAGCTCAACTACACATGGCTAGTAGTTATCACATTAGACAGCACATAAAAGAAGAAATCACCTGTGTGTAAAATGTATTCTTTTTTTGTTTTTGGAGACAAGGTCTCACTCTGTCATGCAGGCTTGAGTGCAGCATCATCATTATAGCTCACTGCAAAATCAAATTCTTAGGCTCTAGTAATCTTCTTGCCTCAGCCTCCTGAGTAGCTGAGAATATGAGTATGTGCCATCCAACATGCCTGGCTACATTTTGTAATTTTTACAGAGATTGTGTCTCACTATGTTCTTCAGGCTGGTCTCCAACTCCAGGCCTCAAGTAATCTTCCCACCTCAGCCTCCCAAAGTACTAGGATTACAGTCATGAGCCACTATGCCAATCATATTCTTAAACTATATTATTGGCAACCAAACTCAATTAAGACGGGACAAATTACCTATTTTTAACCTAAAAGGCAAGTTTTCATACCGCTATTGTACATACCAACACAGAAATAATCGTTAACTATGTGATTTTTCAACTCATTTTCTAGCATACTTTACATCAGAAGGTTTTAAATAGAAAAGACAAAGTTTCAACTGCAAAGTATTTGCTTAGACCAAAGAAAACTGTATGTTGTACATAATAGTGAATTAAAGTCTTGAATAAAGCTATAGTATTTAATCATGAACTATGTCTTTAAAATTATGTAAAATTGAGAGCTTTCAATATTAATAAAATTATAAGGCAAAGAATTATCTAAAAATATACCATTATCAAACATTCTCAATGTTTGCACAATCCTAATTAACTCTTTAGGGAGATTATCCTAAAGCTATAAATACATTTTAAGCTGTGCTGTCTTAAATTACTCAACATTTTTGGTCATCTATTCCAGAAAACCATGTTAATTTTTATGATAATAATGTGCTATTCAAGCACCATGGAAAATTAGGGAAAATATCATAATTTAAAATATATAAATTATTTAATTAGGAAAGATAGCAAAGATGCCAGTAATAATTTATATTATAGAAACCACTAGCCCATGTGTGAATATTAGTAAGTTAGTTCACTATTTTTCTCCATTCTGTATTATATATAGACAGTCCCCAGGTTACAAAGAGATAGGTTCTATAGCAGCGGTTCTCAACCTGGGGGTCCCGAACCCTTTTTAACAATGCAAATACATTGTGGCATTAGGAAGGTTGAGAACCACTGTCCTATAGGTTTGTTCTTAAGTTGAATTTGTACAAAAGATGAAACAGGTATATTTACTGATAAAAGCCTCCATTAAGTGCAAGTTATATATAAATCACGTATTTGTAAACTCAGAGACTGCCTCTACTTTATTATAAACAGTGAATAAGAAGAATGTATGGAATGTGAAAGGACAGAAAAATAAAATGTGTGACAGATTTCCTAAAAGAATCACAAATTGGGCGGTGCTTGTGGCTCAAAGGAGTAGGGCACCAGCCCCATATGCCAGAGGTGGTAGGTTCAAACCCAGTCCTGCAAAAAAAAAAAAAGAATCACAAATTTGGGTGGCGCCCACAGCTCAGTAGGTAGGGCACTGGCCACATACACTGAAGCTGGAGAGTTTGAACCTGGCCTCACCAGCTAAAATAACAACAACAACTGCAACAACACCACCACCAACAAAAAAAAAATAGCCAGGTGTTGTGTGGCAGGTGCCTATAGTCCCAGCTGCTTGGGAGGCTGAGGCAGAAGAATCGCTTAAGCCCAAAAGTTGGAGGTTGCTGTGAGCTGTCACACTACAGCACTCTACCAAGGGCTTGAGATTCCATCTCAAAAAAAGAATCATAAATTTTATTTTAAAAATATGACCAATTGTCTTATAGCATTAATAAGTTAGTATTTAAAGTAAACATGATTTTTACTATCATGTTTTCATAAACTAAGGAATGGCTTGAAGCATGCTCACCAGACAATCAAGGTTTAAGATACACTTATTATTACTTACCTGTAGGGTTTACATTCAGTATCTGCTCATTTTCTACATCCATTGTTTCTTAATTTCACTTGCACTGATTAAACAAATTACCAAATGAAAGTCTTCCTTTAGAATCTATTTTTTAAAAAGAAGATTAAAAAGCATGAGCATTTTCTAAACTGGTATGATTTAGCTAAATTCAATTTACTTAAGCACACTGTAAAAAAATCCATATAATTCTATTTTTAAAAAAAACTTCACTTTCCTTTCAAAGACAACTTACCCTAATTAGTATTTGGTTCCAATCTTCTCAACAAATTTATGAGTCAAAAGAACCCAAATTCCCATACATGCTAAAGCATCCCTTTAGCTGGAGTTAAAAGATACTTGCTATACATTTTTATATCAAGAAATACATCCCCCCAAAAAAATCTTTTAGGAATACCAAACACTCAAAATTAATCTGATATACATCTATAGCAACATAAATCCTGGGGGATGGTTCTCTGCCAATAAATTATGAGAACTATTCTAAAATACAAATACAGTTTTGGTTAATTAAGAATACCACAAGACTGTGTAATTTTTTCAAATGTCAGCATTATATGAAAGCTGAGACTGAACTACCACTTCATTACCTATTAAGACCGAGACAGGGGAAAATCTTAAAAAGCTTTTTCTATAATTAGCATATTACTTTTATAAACTGAAAATTTTTTTAAAAATATCTGACCTATCTTGGAAAGAAATTAAGTACGATGACAGCATCTCAATATTTCAAACCTCAGTCTCAAAATGCCTTAAAAATTAATGCTGCAGGGTTACTTTTCAACAATTAACTTAGAGATACAGATTCAATGTAATTTTAAAGAAAGACTATCAAAATAGTTCTAAAAATATATACATTAACAGAAGGCATAACCAAATAGGATTTTACAATCTCTCTGGAAATATTTTAAATACTGGCTTAGAGTACTTAAGTGCCTATTTGTTTAAGTCATATAGGTTGGATATGCAACCAGGCATTTACAACCATGTTGCTAACAATCTGATCTTCTTCTTTTTTTTTTTTTTGGCAGAGGCTGGGTTTGAACCGGCCACCTCTGGCATATAGGGCCAGCACCCTACTCCCTTGAGCCACAGGCACTGCCCAGCCTGCCCTTCTTGCGATACAAAATTCATAAATTAAGCCAGGTACTGGCAGTCCCAGCTACTCAAGAGGCTAAGGTATAAGCATCACTTGAGCCCAAGAATTCAAGACCAACCTGGGCAACACAGTGAGATCCCATCTCAAAGCAATAAAATTAAAACACACAAATTAGTAAAAATGTCTAATAAATTTGAGGAAAAATACATATTTTCATATAAATTACTATCAGATGTCATTATAGGATAACAATGATATATAATGCCTCGGGACTCAAAGGTGAAAGTGACTTTTAAATTCCTCAATATATACTGTCATTTGTTAACATCTTATTAGTTTATATCCTTTTCCAGAAAAGATTTTGTGAAATAAAAACAAATATACTTTATGCTAAAATTGTAAGCTTCTTAATGAGGCACAGTCCTTAAGACTACCAAGATGCTATCATAATGCTTCACAAGCATGGTGAAATCACTTTACATATTCTATTCATAATAAACTGACATATGTGATTCTATCTAATCACTTTTCAGTACTATAATTCCCACCAACTCTGGACTTAGGAAAAAAATTAATCTTAAAAATATGTATATAGGCTCGGCGCCTATAGCTCAACCGGCTAAGGTGCCAGCCACGTACATCTAAGGTGGCGGGTTCGAATCCCCAGCCCGGACCCGCCAAACAACAATGGCGGCTGCAACCAAAAATTGCCGGGCGTTGTGGCGGGCGCCTGTGGTCCCAGCTACTTGGGAGGCTGAGGCAGGAGACTCGCTTGAGCCCAGGAGTTGGAGGTTGCTGTGAGCTGTAATGCCACGGCACTCTACCCAGGGGGACAGCTTGAGTTGTCTCAAAAAAAAAAAAAAAAGTATATACAGATTCATGAAATCTCTAGATTAGAGATGAACAAATAGTTTGAGAATCTAAACATTGGTGTCTTCCTTTCAGTGTATGAATCACATAGGAAACAAATAACATCACATGATGTCTGAGTTTTTTAACTTGAGTTACATTTAAAAGTCATTTTCATTCTTGATGAAAATATAATCCTTAAGAGTATTTTCTGAGGAACTCAGCTAATAAAAGAGGTAATAATTGCAACCGATGTTTATAATGCCCTGTTCATGTACCTTACAGAACAGTCTTGAGATAGAGGTGTTCCACTTTGCACACAGTTAAATTCATTGGTAATCTCATCCAAGCAGACAACTACTCAGTGGAAGAGCCAGTACCAGCACTCCAAACTAGAACTAATACAGAACTAGGACAAGACCTTCCAAATCCAGCACTGTTCGCAGAAGTTCAATGTAAGATTTTAACGTCCTACCAGAAGATTCCTTTTTAGGGTTAACAGAAAGCAGCTTACTTAAAACATAGACCACCACTGTTGAATCAAATTTTTAAATAATGCTTTCCAAACACTAAAAACAGTAATTACTTTAAACTATTAAACAGAAGGCATTTGGTCAGGCAAAGAAAATTATCAAATAATGGCCATCAAGTTAATTTATTAAGTAATCCTAACAAAAAAATACTTTTGTGTCTCTTTAGGCAATGATGACATGATGAAGAACTCAAGTCACATTTGATAGCAACCAAAATTTTTTAAGAGTTTAGAGAAGGATAAAGATATGTTCCATGTTTTCCCTGTCTTCAAAATAGTAGTTTATCCCCAATTTGTTAAAAATCGTTAAAAAAAAAACCTTAAGATTCTTGCCTCAAACAAGAAAACGTAAAGCAAAAAAACTCAACCCCATTTCCTTCATACTAACCTACAAATATTAATTTTCAATGAGAAAACTACACATACACATACTTTTTTAGGGAAAAAGATAAGGGCTAAAATTAAATATCCTTTTTCTCCAGCGTATCACAAAGAAACATAGGATCATAAGTATTCAATCGCCAAGATGTTCCGTAAAAGAGCGAGTCTCCCCCCTCCCCCGGCCAAAATCTATTTCCTGAGAAATACCTCATAAATTACTCTGACATTTTGGGGAGTGAAGTTTAGATAGGCCATTTGTTAACTAGAAAATTACCTGTAGTCATTCCTGGGCTACAATCACAGCTAATTAGCAACTTAAAATCAGCTACAAGCATTCCACCACAATAATGTAAATGTGAGCATTACAGAGAACATCCGAAGGGCATTTATTTTTGCAGTCCTAACGATTATTTTTCCTTTCACGAGTTCTACAGAAAGACCAATTATAATTCAAAGATGTCTGCTGAGATGCTAGGGAATTCAAGAAACCGATAATGAAGGAATATTAAGGGTATAAATCCCAATAATTAAATTTACAACACATCTGCAGTGGTATCTTAAAAAAAAAAAAAACTCACATGGAAATTAACAGTAAAAATACAATTTAAAAACAGGCTGCAACCTCCCCCCTCAACACACAGACACCCGGCCGCATTTTTGCTCGTTTTAATCATCTGCGGACACGACACCGCTGCGGGCTGCGCGGTCACTCCTCACTAGGGCCGCGGGGACGGGCGCTGTGCACGTCTGCGGACAGTTTGAAGCTCTTGCAACAATCTGCACGGACGTAACAGCCCCAAACTGACAAACGCGGCGGACACAGCACGCGTTTCACAGAAAGGGGGCTCCCTTCCAGCCTTTGTGTTCTCTGGGAGATTCTTTTTTACCTGAAGTAAAAAAGAGAAGGAGGGGCGCGGCGAAGTCTGAGCGGGGCAGGCCGGAGGGCCCGCGTCCGCCTCCCAGCGCCGCCGACCAGAGCGCGGACCGTCCCCGCGGGCGCCCAGCCCGCCCTCCGCAGCCCGGGCAGGCCGCGACCCCGCAGTCCGCAGGCCCCTGCCCCCTGCCGGCCTCCGAGAGGTGCCGGGCCGCGGCGGCCGGGCCTGGGGCCGGGGTCTGCAAACGCCGGGCCGGGGGCCGCCGCGTCAGACGACTCCAGCGAGAAGAGGGCGGGAGGGCGCAAACCTCCCCACAGGATTTCAGTCCCGCCGGAACCACACCTCCCACCTCTCGCCCCCCAAATTAAACCTCGTCTGAGAGTGGGGGCCGAGGAGCAGCCCCTCGCCCGCTGGCGCCGCGCGCGCCCCGCGGAGTGGGCAGGGGTGCAGGGAGGGGGCGGGCCCGCGCCTCCGCGCTCCCAGCGGGGCCCAGCCCGAGGGAACCCGGGCCGCAGCTCCGGGGTCCGAAGCGTTAGGCGGCTGCGGCCGGACCTGCGGGGTAGTGAGGAGGTGGCCGGACCCCCGCCCTGCCGGCCCTGACCAGACCCCGCCGCGGCCTCACGCCCCTTCCCCCCATCAACGTGCGGCTCCCTCCGAGGAGGGACCCAGGATGAGAGAAAAGGGGCCGTCTTCCCGAGCGTGCGAGCCGCGCCCTCCGGTACTGACCCCTCGGGCCACAGCCGCTGCTCGCCCAGTTCCCCGGTCTGTCGGCCCAGACCCCGTTCCTCAGCCTCTGCCGCCGCTTCGGAGTGTCTCTGGCCCCTCTCGCTCTGTTTGTTTTTGTTTTGTTCTACCCAGTAACACGGGGGCGAGAGGGCAGCGTTTATTGGCCGAGACGAGGAGGTCGGCTGGCCAATCGTGGCGGCGAAGCTGGAGCTGAGGCGGAAAAGGGAGAGAAGTGAAACGTGGAAAGTTGGGGAGGGGCGCGGGAAGGCGCATGCGCGTCTGGCCCCTGGGACGGGCTGAAGTGGGAGCCAAGCGGGAAGCGGAGGGGGGGCAGTTTGCTGTCCGGAGGCGCAGCGGGATGGCCTCTAGGGCTAACTGGCTTGGGGGCAGCGGGGAAGCGGTGAGAACTACAGTGAGCTCACCCGTTATCCTCGCAGGGCGTTCTACAAAAGGAAAAGCTTTGGACTTCCTGGGGGTCCCTGCCACCCATTTCTGGACACTCCCCACGGGAAGATTTCCAATCTCTCCTGCTCCTTCTTTCAGGCCCTGTTCACCACATGGCTCCTACTTTGTGCAAACCTGGTCTTAAGAATTTCTCTCAGCAAATGCCCTCAACCCTTTGAGAGCGAACTCATTCCCATTTCACATGTAAGAAACAGAAGGAAAAATAAAAATAAGTTCAAAATGAAAAAGTAGCCAAGTACCAAGAATTTTTGCCTACCAAATCAATCAACAAATATTTATTGTGTGCTTTTTTTTGTGCAGAGCACGGAGGTGATTCAGCTGTGTTCTTGGCAAAAGACTTTATTTTACTTTAAGTCTAGAGCTGCCCAGACTTCTGGGCCACTATCAGGGGTCCTCAAACTTTTTAAACAGGGGGCCAGTTCACTGTCCCTCAGACCGTTAGAGGGCTGGACTGTGGGCTCAGGGACGAGTCAGCTGCTAAGCAGGACAGGCAGCTGCGGCAAAAACACCCGGCGGGCCGGATAAATGTCCTAGGCGGGCCATATGTGACCCGTGGGCCGTAGTTTGAGGACGCCTGATACATCTTCGTTTCATATTATAATTGTTCACAAACTGATTTTCTGTTGCCTAAAGCCCAGAGTGTATGGGCTTGTCAAGTTAGCTGTTAGGCTAAAAGAGAGGGGAGAGCCCTTCCCGTTAACTAATTCTATCCAGAATGATAGAATGGCAACTTCTATTTCCCTTAAAAATGACTTATTCTAGGAGTTTAGGAGAGGAAGGGCCACCACAGTTGCACAGGATTAGACAGCTGTTCATAGGTGACAACAGAAACGCTGTGCGGCTTATCAGCCAGACATTATAAGGTACCTGTCTTCCCCATACTCCTCAGGTCAAAGCAGCATTGAGATGCTTAACTGCTTAGCCAGGCACACAGAGCGTTTGTTTTTGTTAGGGAATGTGGGAGAGAAAGTGGTAGTTTCTATTTTTTGCCTCTTAAGACAAGTTATTGACTACATCCCTGATTAGCTGTGTTGCTCTGGGTATTTCTCTTCCCCTCCTTCAATTTTCTGAACGGTAAAAGGAGTTTTCCACTGCAGGGGTTCTTTAAGGAGCCATTCCAGTTATGACACCCTCTTAGGATACTGAGTAAGTTACTAAGGTGGTGGTACCATGCAAGTCCTGGGAATAGGGGACAAGAGATGAGAGTTTGCCAGCGCTGGCAAGAGAGGATTCCACCAGATGTGGACAGAAGAAATACTGCCTTCAATCTAGGGCCTTTCTCCAAATGCAAAGTTCAGCTTATATCACCTCCTTCCATCCCAAAGGTAAGAATGATGGCTGGTGTAGGATTAGGAGTTCTAATGAGTTGATGTAGGTAAATTACTTGGAAATGCAGATGAAAGGCAAAAGATAAGCACCTAGAATTACTATTATTGCCCTTGGAACTTTCCAAGGCCGCCTTATTCTTTGGAGAAAGTCTCATTTGAGAACTCCATGTTTCTTAGTAAGCACTGTTCTTACCCTTAACTGAGATTGAGAAGAGACAGTCTTTCTGGGGACTAAAGGTAGGTCTTAGCCCACTTCCTTCCTAAGAACTTTCAGAAGCTACTGTCAATTACAAAGGCTTCATCTCCCAAACTGACATCCCGTTTTATTTTGTCAAACCAAGGCCCGAAGTTCAGGAATTCCTGTCAGGCAGGAATTGCTCTTTAGCATGAGGTAAGAGACATGAAACATGTTTTGAAGAGAGAGCTGCATAAGGAATTCTAATAATAATGATGATAGCTGACTTGTGTGTTGTTGTAGGGTTTACTTAAAAAAACGCATTTGCATGTATTTTCACCACCTTCTCTGAAGTGAATGAGATTCTTTGCTTTAAACGAGAGGGAAATGAGCCTTGAGCAAGGTGCTGCTAATCATGGGATTTTTATGCTGAAAGGAAACATGGAGATCGAGTCCAAATCTTTTATTTTACAAATGGAGAAACAGATCCAGAAAAGTTGCTCAAATCTGCACAATGAGTAAGCAGCAGAGCCAGAGTGCAAATGAAGTCTCAGGGTCCCAGCCTGGTAGGGGACGTGTGGATGAGAGAATCCAGACCTTCTGGGACTCAAGCTGAGCTGAATTTTTTCTGTCACTCAGCCTTTAGTCTCTTGACTAAACATCAAGTGTCAGGGCCTGTTTCTGGGCCCCAGGCAGAGCCTCCTGGTATCATATGAATTCGCATAAAGGTCTCAGAAGTGAGGAAGAGGAATGAGAGAGAGAAGTTTGTGTGATTTTTAGAAACTGTTCATGGAGCATTTTCAAGAATCTCTTTCCCGAGGTAAAAAGCCTAGAGTCATGTAAAGCATAGCACAGGAAAATGCAACATTTTAATATAGTATGTACCAAGAAATATTAAAAGACTAAAAAGGTTTTACTTCCCCAATTCAGGTTTTCAGGGGTTTTCTTGGTGCCTTTGTCTTTTGTGGGTTTCCCCCTACCCCCTACCAAATCACTCCTGCTATCTTAAGGATTTAGAAATGAACTGAGTTAGGGTTGAGCAACTCCATCAAGTCATCTTTCCCCCAAATCTCATACATTGTACCACATCTTCTACACCTGTCTCAGTTCTAAGCCTGAGAACACTAGAGACTTTTGCAATCACAACCCATTCAACCCGATGCTTTTCAATGCTTATTATAACTGCCGCACCCTGGATTTAATTGTGTTGAGTCAGGGGAGAGAGTGTGCTTCTCTAGTTATATCTCTGGGGGCTTTATTTGCATTCTTCTGGAACACTGGGTCCTCAGCTAGGCTTCACCCTCCTCAGAATTAATCCTCTTTGCTCCAGTCAACCTGAGTGCACATAGCTGCTGTGCCCTCCTCCCCTATATGTTGTACAGAGTTTGCTTGCCTTCCAGAAAAGAGGGGGGACTAGAGGGAGCTTGGCCTAGAAATGAGGGGCTTTTCATGCTGGAAAATAAGAGACATGAATGATCTTTGGGTATGATTAGGACACCCATATCTGGCTCAGCGCCTGTGGCTCAAGCGGTTAAGGTGCCAGCCACATATACCTGAGCTGGCGGGTTCGAATCTAGCCCGGGCCTGCCAAACAACAATGACGGCTGCAACCAAAAAATAGCCAGGCGTTGTGGCAGGCGCCCGTAGTCCCAGCTACTTGGGAGGCAGAGGCAGGAGAATTGCTTGAGCCCAGGAGTTGGAGGTTACTGTGAGCTGTGATGCCATGGCACTCTACCCAGGGTGACAGCTTGAGGCTCTGTCTCAAAAATAAAAAGACACCCATATCTACAAGGAAACACAGAGAAGGCTAGAGAAGGGTAGAGGGAGGGAGGTCTCCACCAGTAAATATTCGAAAGAGACACACAAAGAAAAAGTTAATTAACAGTACTGATCAAACCTCTTTACCTTTAAAGAGGAGAGAACAAAGGAAACCCAAGGGAAATGTGCCTTTTGTTATTAAATGCTTGTGAGTTGCCCGAAGCTAGCCCAGTGAAAGATCAGAGAAGATGGTCCTGGAAGATGGTCTAGTGAGGCCAGCTTGCTCAGATTACAGATGAACACACTGAGGCTCAGAGAAACAGTCTGGCTCTAGACAAGTTACAGAAGCAGCCACAGTACCTCAGCCCACCACTTGCAGCTGCCTTTGTTTGCATATGGTTCTCCATGTGTGTCTTGTTCTCCCATCCTGCTTTTTTTCCTTTCCAAAAAGCTAGAAGAGCAGCTTCCAGAAAGAAAAACTACAGCTAGCATTTTTTAAATAACAGCACCAGGAAATCCCCAAGCGCTGCAATTGAAGCAACATGATTGACAGTCCTTCAGTACAATTGACAGAGCTAGCATCAAAACAGGAACTCAAAGACAAAAGGCCACCCTCCAAGAATGAGGAATTCAAAAAATAAGTAAATAAATAAATAATTGCTGAGGAAGCAACTCAAAGTCTTACCACCACTTCTTGTGTTGCATAGGTGCGGAAGGATTTTGTTTTTAGGATGTCTTCTTTGAGGGCAGTGAATCTAGCTCAGCCATTTATTAATTGGCTTCAAAGTGTGCAAGAACACTCTAAAATTTTATGCAAGTTTTCTTAGGAATACATGAGTGATAGCACAGTGGGTTCATAACTTTGTTTTGTAAAAACCCCCAAAAGAGTCATGTCCGAAAAGAGATTGAGAACTTCTAACATATGAGGTTTTTTGTTCGTTTGTTTTTGCAGTTTTTGGCTAGGGCTAGGTTTGAACCGGCCACCTCTGGCGTAGGGGACTGGTGCCCTACTCCTTTGAGCTACAGGTGCTTCCCCTAACATACGCTTTTACATGTTAGTACATTTGCACCCATTTCCACAGTGAGTGTCCTACCAAGGGGTGCCACCAGACTTTTTTTCCCTCTGTATGTCAAACCAGGAGCAGAATCAAAGTGCCTCCAAAGTAACCACAACAGAAAAATGAAGTGAAATTGTTTCTTAAGACAGCAGTGATTCTATAAAAAGATGGATTGCCTTCTGGGAAAACCCCAGTAGTCATTCCAGCCTGGTGTGGCATCTGCCTTCCATTATGTTGACCCCAATGGGCCAGAAATATCAGCTGACTCTCTCAACTTTACTGAAAAGGCACAGCCCCATCACCCATGAATGTGTCTTTTTCAAAACTCTTAAATTTTGGAGGGATCACTTCTGAGGTTTATCTTACAGGGGTACAAGTGAATCTTTCTAAGAGTAGAATGTAAATGTTTTAAAACAATAACTGAGAAAATGACATGAAGG